CTATAGACTAGACTATAGACTAGACTATAGACTAGACTATAGACTAGACTATAGACTAGACTATAGACTAGACTATAGACTAGACTATAGACTAGACTATAGACTAGACTATAGACTAGACTATAGACTAGACTATAGACTAGACTATAGACTAGACTATAGACTAGACTATAGACTAGACTATAGACTAGACTATAGACTAGACTATAGACTAGACTATAGACTATACTATAGACTAGACTATAGACTAGACTATAGACTAGACTATAGACTAGACTATAGACTAGACTAGACTAGACTATAGACTAGACTATAGACTAGACTATAGACTAGACTATAGACTAGACTAAGACTAGACTAAGACTAGACTATAGACTAGACTATAACTAGACTATAGACTAGACTATAGACTAGACTATAGACGAGACTATAGACTAGACTATAGACTAGACTATAGACTAGACTATAGACCTAGACTATAGACTAGACTATAGACTAGACTATAGACTAGACTATAGACTAGACTATAGACTAGACTATAGACTAGACTATAGACTAGACTATAGACTCAGACTATAGACTAGACTATAGAACTAGACTATAGACTAGACTATAGACTAGACTAATAGACTAGACTATAGACTAGACTATAGACTAGACTATAGACTAGACTATAGACCTAGACTATAGACTAGACTATAGACTAGACTATAGACTAGTAAGACTATATAGCTAGACTATAGACTAGACTATAGACTAGACTATAGACTAGACTATAGACTAGACTATAGACTAGACTATAGACTAGACTATAGACTAGACTATAGACTATAGATATCAAAAAATACTGAATTTTCCATCCCTGGTCTAGACTATTGACTAAACTATAGTCCAAACTAAAGACTAAACTTTAGGCAAGATTGAATGCTATAATCCATATTATAAACTAAACTGAAGTTCAAACATTAGATATAACTATAGTCAAGCCTAATTGTGGTGATTTGGACTTTCAAGACCAAATGTGAAACATTGTATAAAAAATATTTGAATTGTGGGAACTAATCTTCGTCACTGTGTTAAAGGCAAATTAACAAAATGTTTATAATTTAAACACGAAATCTTAAGTTCACTATTAATTTCCTACACAAATTTAATACTTGTGCTAATAATTAGATATTTCCTTAAAATTTCGATATAAAAATTGAGCTTTGAAATTAAATACCGATAACATTGAGATGAAATTTTCCTATTGAAAAAGGGATGAAATATGATATGACAATTTGCACTTAAAATAAAACGATAATAAATTGAAAAATATTTTAAGCTTAAATATAAAAATTTCTTTAAATTTTTAATTTGTTTACAAAATTTTCAATTGACGTCTTTTCAAAAAATATCTTTACACCCCCATGTACACAGCTTCAGCACAGAGCAAGTGTGTCAAAATAATTGAGGGGCCAATGATTTTTACAGTTACTTCAATGTTTTCTTTTGTATAGAATACAAAAATACTGATATATACAATAAATATTTACGCCAACAAAGCCAAATAAAGAAATATTTTTTTCTTGGTCGTGTAATATAAAAAACATGCGCAGATTTTTAACAGCCAAAAAAAATATATATTTTGTTTGCGTCTTAAAAACTTTTAAGTATTATTAGTACTGGGTAGTCATCAAAATTTTTTATCCGGTGGTCGTCAGTCAGAATGATGAATGAATAATGTGGATTTTTTTTTTGGACACAATAAAATTAGCAAAATATTCATAATGTATATAAGAATATGTAGAGAAAATTTCATTTAAATTAATTATGATAATACAGACAATTGTTAGCCACAAGCCGCAAATGACTCCTAAGGTCATGAAAATTTGTGTGTGCTAGATGCCATGTTTATTGTCTGTATATTTAGTAAATAAACTATTTAACAAAGAATTTTTTATGGCCAAATTAATTAACTAAATTATGACTGAAAATATTTGGAGATCAATGTTGACCATTTAAACTTGATAAAGGTCATTAGTTTTGAGAAATTTTGATTTTTTTCATGAAATTTACAAAATTTGTGGCAATTTTTTAAGGATTTTTATTTGACAAGAGCTTATGTTTTGTTATTTAGTTACAAGAGCAAGGCATCAAGGGGGTATTTTGTATGCAATGTGTAAAAGAGGGGGGGGGGTCTTTAAAACAAAACATTGTACACTTGAGTATACATTTTTACTATTTCTTTATTAATTTATTAAATAAAAAGTAATTATAACTTGTTTTAGTTCTTTTTCTTTCAAAACAAGACATTCCTTTTTTGTTTTAACCAATTTACAAATACTCTCCCTCTCTCTCTCAATAAAAAAGACTTGATTCTTTTATTTACTGTTGTTGTTGATGAAGAAAAAAAAGTAGTAGCAAAACAGGCACTAGCAACTTATGACAAATGTATAGCAACAACAAAAACAAAACAATACAAAATAGTAACAGCAAATAAAAAAACAACAACATTAACAATACACAACACCTTGGTCAATAACAAAAACAACAATAATAATAAATACAAACAGAAAAAAAACACACACACAAACTTCAACAAACACACATATTCGAACGCACAAACATATGTCAATCATAATCTTCAACATCATTATCATCATCGTCTATTGTATTTTATCCATCATTTATATGGCAACAAAAACAACAACAACAACACTAGCAAATGTGTAATATTTTAAGTTCTTGTATTTAATTAATCCTGCCGCACCTTGTTTAAAGGTTTTTCCTATATTTTCTTGACCATTTTCTTAAAATTTGTCATAAATCTTGATACAAAATATATGTATAAAATATTTTTTGTTGTTTTTTTGTCTTGCAGCAGAAAAAAAAATTAACACTGAAACCACATTACCTACAAACTCTTACAAATTATTATATTTTTAATAATAAATTTTGTTAATTATTTAGTAAATTTTATGAACATTTTTAATTTATATCAAATATTTAAGCAAATTTTAGGCTTTTTCTTTAATTTTTTCACCAATAACACTTATTTTTTCACTACTGAAAAAAATTTTTTTCTTGACTTTTTTTCCATTGCCTTTAACACTTCATTTTTCTTTTTGCATTTTTTCTTTTTAATTTGTTAAATTTCATTCAAATTATACCATATTCTTACATTTTCATTTTTAATTTATATATTCCGTTTAGTTTTTGCAAATATTTTTTAGATTTTCAAGTAAAATTCATAAAATTTTCTTCCACTAAATTTTTTTGCTAATGAAAATGTAGAAAAAATTTTATTATTCGTGATTTCGTCTGGCTCTCTTCGCACACACACAATTTTTGATAGCAAAAAAGAGCAAAAAAATGTTATACATATGTAAGGTGACAGGCAGCACAGAGTTGTATGTAAAAAGTCGCAAGTGGCAAAATGTGGGTAAAAAAGGGATTATTGTACAAAATGTCGAATAATATATAGAGTTGTTAAAATAACGAATATTTTTCAAAACAAGTACTCTTAATTCAATATTCGAAAATTCGAAATTTCAAAAACTGAAATTCTCAAGTAAAGTTGTTAATTTTAACTTTGCTTGACTTTATTTTAATATAAATAACAAAATTTATAATTTTGAACAAGATTCGAAAACTTACACTTTATTTCGAATGTTCGGAAGTTGAAATTCTTAGGGAAATTTTTTTTATACTTTGCACTACTTTATTTTTGAAAAATTACGAAATTTTTCATTTTAAATGAAGTTTAAACTTTTCGATCAAATTAAAATTTTTTACATTTTAAATTATTTATAAAAATTTATTTTTTTACTACTTTCGACTTTCACTGGTATATTCAAAATTGCACATCCATATTTACAAAGTTCGAAAAATCGAAGTTAATATTAAAAAGTTCGAAAATTGATAATTTTTAACTTTTCGACAATTTTTCAACAGAATACCCAACATTTAAAAAATAAATAATAAAATTATAACAACTCTGTTTTTATAAACAAGAATTTGATACGATTTTTTACAACCCTGTTACATATGACAATATTATTGACTACTTAGCGATTTTAATTTTTTTCTTTAGCTCTTTACTTATAATAATAATGGCTAGATGTTAAAATTTATAGTTTGAGGGAAATAAATGGCGTTTTATTAAATACATGTTATTTAGTTGCTTATTTTAAATAAATATTGTATTTTTTATTGTTGTAGTTGGCAAGTATGTCTACAAAATTTTCACAAAATTATAATTTTTCTACTGAAAATTTTAAAAACTATTTTGCAGCAAACAAAAAATCCAGTTTTACCAAGGTAACCAACCATTTTTGCATTAATTAAAGCCAAATAAGCGATTTTTTATTGTAATTGATATAAGTTTCATTTTTTATATAAGTTTTCTGAAATGTTTAAAGGAACTCTTTTAATTTTTTATAATACTGTTGATTCTTTAATATTTTTCAGAATTTTTAAAAGAAATTTATTTATTTTTGCTAAATTTTATTATGCCAATAAGAAAATTAAGTGATATTTTTAACTTATAGCGATTTTTGTAAACATTACCTATTAGCTGCATTGATAACACTGTTTGTCAAAAGCCATCCCAAACACGAAGAAAAAGAGTAGAAAGAAAACAACACAAAAAATTTCTTGTTGCCATTTAATTAATAAAAAAATAACTTAAAAAAGGGTAAATTTATAGAAAAATTTTCAATTTAAATAAAAATTAACTAGTTTATTAATCAAACATAATAAAAAAGTGTGAAAATTTTACAAAATTAACCGAAAAAAAGAACATTCTATAAGGAAACCCACAATTGTTTTTTCTTTTTTCGAGATATTTTCTGGTGTCCAAAAAGTCTATGTGTGTGTGCGTGCGTGTTTTTTGTAGAATTCTCGTGTAGCAAGAACAAAATAAGCGAAAAAAAGAATAAAAGTGCATGTCTGGAGAAATGTGAAAAAGAAAACTCTACAAAAAGCCTGCACACGGCTTTTTTGTGTTTGCTTCTCTCTTTCCCTACTCACATAAACTGTCATAAACTCAGCTGGTTGGGCAAAAAAAGGAAATATTAAAAAATCATTACGCACCTTAACAAATATCAAAGTGGGGTTTTTAATTAAATAGTAAAATTAAAATAGAACTTAAAAGCATTTATCTAAAACTAAGAAACAATTAAAGAAAAATTAACTACTTTCGGGTAAAAACAAATGCAAAAACCTTAATTAGACAGAATTTTATGGTGAAATTTCGGAAAACATCTTAAATAATTTGTAGGTTTTTTCATGTTAAGTGTAAGATTCGGTTCGTAAGAAAATTTTCAAGCCGGTGGCTAAAGAAAAATTCCTTAAAAAAAAGAAAACTTTGTTAAAAAAAATCGAACTCAAGTCAAAGTTTTTAACATTCCTTTTACATATATTTGTTGTTTTAATATTTGTTAATTATATTTTATTTTAATTTTCCAGCTGTTTTTTCTCCTCTCATCCTTATTTATAGCCAGCCCCGAGAAGAAGTGTTTTTGTCGTATTTCAAGGTATATTCCCTTAAATTTCTTTAAAGCCTAAAAATATGCTTTAAATTGTTTCTTCTTAATTTTTTAGCATCCCCCTCCTGTTTGTGTAACTTTATTTTAGATATATTTTATATGAGAAATAGTTTTGTGTTTTTTTAAACACTCATTCATTCCTTGCAACTTCTTTTTTCTGTGAGTGTGTGTGTGTCACCACTAGCAGCTGTGTAAAAGGGAGAAGTAAGCAAAACCACACAGATCCCCAAAGCCAGCCAACAAGCAAGCTATCATAGTAACGCAGTCTATATATAGTCATGCCCCGCGGTAAACGTCGTTCCAATCACGATATGGGTGAAGATGATCGTCAAACTTCGAAAAGACAACGTAATACCTATACGACAGCAACAGCGACAGCACAAAATACTAGCAGGTAAGTAAAATTAATCCGCCCTAGAGTAGACTACAATTTATATGTTTTGCTGTATGCCTAAAAGTAGACTTTAAATTTGATAGTTATAGATAGTTGATAGAAAATTGAAATTCTTCAAAAAAAATATTTTTTTTCGAAATTTATCATTAAATCAAGTTCGAAAATTCGAACATAATTTCGAAACGTTCGAAATTAATTTCAAAAAGTTCGAAAATTGAAATTATTGAGGAAAATTTTTATTTTTAATTTTTTTTAATATCCAAATTTTCATATTTTGAACAAAGTTCGAAAATTCGAAATTAATTTCGAAAAGTTCGAAAAATGATTTTTTAAGGAAAATTGTTTTTATATACTTTGTTCGACTTTATTTAAGTAAAAATTACGAAATTTGACATTTTAAACGAAGTTCGAAAATTCGAACTTAATTTCGAAAATGGAATTTTTTAAGGAAAATTGTTTTCTTATACTTTGTTCAACTTTTTTTGAGTAAAAATTAAGAAATTTATCATTTTAAACGAAGTTCGAAAATTCGAATTTAATTTGGAAAAGTTCGAAAATGGGACATTTTTCGAAAATTCGAACTTAATTTCAAAAAGTTCGAAACTGGATTTCTTTTAAAGGAAAATTGTTTTTTTTATATTTTGTTCGACTTTATTTTAGTAAAAATAATGAAATTGTATATTTTAAAGGAAGTTCGAAAATTCGAACTTAATTTCGAAAAGTTAAAAATTTATACTATTAAGAACATTTTATTGTTTTACTTTTTCTACACTACTAAAATCGAATGTCCAAAATTTATTATTTATAACAAAGTTCGAAAAGTCGAACTTAATTTCGAAAAGTTCGAATATTGAAATTCTTAAGGAAAAATTATAATTTTTAGTTTTTACGACTTTATTTAAATTATACTCGCAAAATGTATAATTTTTAACAAAGTTCGAAAATTCGAACTTAATTTCGAAAAGTTTAAAAACTGAAATTTTTAAGAAAAATCGATTTTTAAACATTGTTCGACTTTATTTCAGTAAAAATTACGAAATTTATCATTTTAAATGAAGTTTGAAAATTCGAACTTAATTTTTTAAAAGTTCGAAAATTTAAATTCTTAAGAAAGGTTAATAATTTTTACATTGTTTGACTTTATTTTGATAAAAGTTGGGAAAATTCGAAAAGTTCGTAACAAAGAATAAACTCCCACACATTCCAATAAATTAAATTGAAATGTTTGTTATTGTTTATTAAATAATACATTTTTTTATTTTTAAATAAATAAACAAATTTATTTTTTCTTCTCTCATAAATCGTCCGCGCACCCCTCCAAATTTTTAATCTTTCTCCCAGCTCTTTTATCACAAACTGTCAATGTCTCTCAATGAACATGAACATGATTTTGAATTTAAAAGACACCTTGTGTTTTTGTTAATAATAATTTGTTGGCATTTGTTTAGAAAATTTTAGCAACTACAAATCTCAAAACTATTTTTAGCAATATAAACAGAATAGAAATAGAAATAAGAACTGAAAAAAGCAAAACAAACCCTTAAAATTTGTCTAACAAAAGCAATGTCAAAGTAAAATATTTTTATTAAAAAAATCCTAAAACAAATTATAAAAAATCTTAATAATTTCTTTAATTTATCACTTCCAGACGTCATATAAAAGCCGAAGATTCTTTCAGTCATAAAAGATGTTTAGCATGGTTTAGAGAATATACAAATCCCGATGAGCCAGATACACTGGGTAAGTTTTTCTATCTTAAAAAAACAAAACTAAAATGAAAATTTATTGTCTACTTCTTTTCTTTTCGCCGTAGGTCCCGATGGCATGGAAAAATTTTGTGAAGATATTGGTGTTGAACCCGAAAATGTTGTAATGTTGGTATTGGCTTATAAAATGGGTGCCACACAAATGGGTTTCTTTAGTCAGTATGAATGGTTAAAGGGTTTAACCGAATTAGAATGTGATTCTGCACTTAAAATGCAATCAAAATTGGATTATTTAAAAAGTATATTAAATGATCCAAATATATTTAAAAGTATATATCGTTATGCATATGATTTTGCTAAGGTAAGTAAATAATAATGTTTGCAAACCACGAACTTGTACAGACTTGATCTAGAATTGATCTTATATGAAATTTTAACTTTAAAATTTTAAAATTCTAATTAGAATGAATCTGAAATGGATTTGAAAATGAAATAGAATACAACTAGAACTGAACTAGAACTGAACAACAACCGAACAAGAACTGAACTAGAACAGAACTAGAACAGAACTAGAACAGAACTAGAACAGAACTAGAACTGAACTAGAACTGAACTAGATCTGAACTAGAACTGAACTAAAACTGAACTAGAACTGAACTGGAACTGAACTAGAACTGAACTAGATTTGAACTAGAAATGAACTAGAACTAAACTAGAACTAAACTAGAACTGAACTAGAACTGAACTTGAATTGAACTAGAACTGAACTAGAACTAGAACAGAACTAGAACAGAACTAGAACAGAACTTGAACTAGAACTGAACTAGAACTGAACTAGAGCTGAACTAGAACTGAACTAGAAATGAACTAGAACTGAACTAGAACTGAACTAGAACTGAACTAGAACTGAACTAGAACTAAACTAAAACTGAACTAGAACTGAACTAGAACTGAACTAGAACTGAACTAGAACTGAACTAGAACTGAACTAGAACTGAACTAGAACTGAACTAGAACTGAACTAGAACTGAACTAGAACTGAACTAGAACTGAACTAGAACTGAACTAGAACTGAACTAGAACTGAACTAGAACTGAACTAGAACTGAACTAGAACTGAACTAGAACTGAACTAGAACTGAACTAGAACTGAACTAGAACTGAACTAGAACTGAACTAGAACTGAACTAGAACTGAACTTGAACTGAACTAGAACTGAACTAGATCTGAACTAGAACTGAACTAGAAATAAACTAGAACTGAACTAGAACTAAACTAGAACTAAACTAGAACTAAACTAGAACTGAACTAGAACTGAACTAGAACTGAACTAGAACTGAACTAGAACTGAACTAGATCTGAACTAGAACTGAACTAGAACTGAACTAGAACTGAACTTGAACTAGAACTGAACTAGAACTGAACTAGAACTGAACTAGAACTGAACTAGAACTGAACTAGATGAACTAGAACTGAACAAGAACTGAACTAGAACTGAACTAGAACTGAAATAGAACTGAACTAGAACTGAACTAGAACCGAACTAGAACCGAACTAGAACTGAACTAGAACTGAGCTAAAACTGAACTAGAACTAAACTAGAACTGAACTAGAACTGAACTAGAACCGAACTAGAACTGAACTAGAACTGAACTAGAACTGAACTAGAACTGAACTAGAACTGAACTAGAACTGAACTAGAACTAGAACTGAACTGGTACTGAACTAGAGCTGATCTAGAGCTGAACTAAAACTAAACTAAATTTAAACTTAAACTAAACTAGAACTAAACTAAACTTGAACTATACTACAGCTGATCTAAAACTTAGTTGAAACTTTTTTAGATTATTACTTTACTGTTCTTTTAATTTAATCCAGGATTCCGATCAACGTAGTATGGATATAAATACAGCAAAGGCTATGCTACAATTATTACTGGGTAAACATTGGCCTTTGTATCCACAGTTTGCACAATTCCTAGATCAATCAAAGTACAAAGTCATAAACAAGGATCAGTGGTGTAATATATTGGAATTTTCACGCACCATTAATAATGATTTAACAAATTACGATATCGATGGAGCATGTAAGTTATTAAAATTCCTCTTATCTTTTAAAGTATGAAAAATACTTATTACAAAATTCTATTAGGGCCCGTTATGTTGGATGAATTTGTTGAATGGTTACGACAGCAACGTCAATGTACGAGCACAACATCAAGCTGAAATTTTTGGTATAACCCTTATTACCATCATCATCAATACCAACCATACCAACCACCACCATACTAAAATTAGTAGAAGCTTCTCTTTTAATATTTATGATTTTAAACTTTCTTTTGGTTTTTCTACTTCCCCATCCCATTTGTCTTTAATATGAGAATAAAAAAAAAAATGAAAAAAATCCATTCTAATGGTTCCAAATACATTTAAATTAACTTTAATAATAAATTCTTGAAAGAAACAAAAAACATTAAAGTAAAACAAAATATATTTGTAATAAATTTAAAACTAAATTATCAAAAGTAAAACAAAAACAAAATTGTCCTTTAAGAATTCCATTATAAATAAATTATTGCAAAACAAGTAATAAAAAAATATCAAGGGGCTTCTTTTAAAGTTTAAAATGCCCTGTTACTCACACACACCCAACCCTTCCTACCCTCCCAAAACCCGCTCCCTTACACCCCTTGGCTCTCATATAAAGTCACTTAATATGAACACTTAAAGTCATTTGTATGGATTTGATCAGCATCAACAAACATAACGTCACGTTATTTTGGTTAAGTTACTTTATAAAAAAAAAAGAAAATACTATTGTAGTAATATGAAAAATAAGAAAAGATGGACAAAAAATTGTCATTCGAGTGAAAAATGAAAGATATGATGTGTGAAAATATTTAATAACAATAATAATTAATAATAATAAAAAAAAACAAAGTATTAAAAGTATGTTTGAATTTTGGCAAGGAAGGGTCTCTGGTTCTGAAATTCAGCCAGCTGAATTACTATTTTATTAAATAATTTATATATTTATGGCAAAAACATGTTACAAATTATATAATTTTTGTAATTCAGCTAGCTGAATATGAAGATTTCTTAAAGTTTTGAATTAAAAACATTTTATCTTTATAGTACATGAACAAAAATTGTCATTCAGCTAGCTGAATATCAAGTTTTCTTAGAGTTCTGAATAAAAAACACTTTATTTATAGAATTCATGGGAACAAATTGTAATTCAGCAAGCTGAATTTAGGTTTCCTTTAATAATTTGCTTAAAAACTACAAAATATATATACTTAATCAATTTCCAGCTTTTATTTTGCAATTCAGCTAGCTAAATAACATTTTTTCATAAAGATTTTAATAAAAACCATTCAATTTATAAGAAATCAGTAAAAAATTCTTTAATAATTTTCATAAATGTTACTATAATGTTAATTTTTCTAAATATTTGGCACATATCTAACAATTCAGCTAACTGAATACTAAAATTTTGTTAACATATAAATAAAAATTTGTTTATTTGCACAAAATTTGCAAAAATTTTGAAATTCAGCTAGCTGAATTGGTCCTTTCATTCATATTTTGAATAAAAATTACGAAATTGCTTATTTTTTGCAATTCAGCTAGCTGAATAAGAAATTTTTATACAAAATTCAATGGCAAATATTTTATTGACATTTTCTTTTATCGTTTCCATTAAAAACCACAAATAAATATTAACAGCTTTAAAAATCACCCGGTATTCTATAATTCAGTTAGCTGCATAATATATTAATAAGAAATTTTTAATAATAAGCAAGGAATTTAAATAAATTTATACAAATTTTCGTTATTCAGCTAGCTGAATACTAATTTTTTGAAAGTTTTATAATAAAACATAAATTTTATAAAAGCTTATGGGATTTTCTTACTATTCAGCTAGCTGAATAAGATTTACGTTAAGTATTTTCCATTAAAATAGATAATTTAGTTCGATTTTCAAATTATAACATATTTTTTTAATATTTTTAAATAAAATTTTTTTTATTAAGCCAAAAACATTTGCTGGATTATTAGCCAACCGCTTTAAAATTTGCATTTGGCAACATGAATTATAAGTTAAACAGCAAAAAATCGCTTGATAGAAAATAGAAAACATATTAGCGATTTTACAAAGTATTTTTTCAAATTTTAATTCATACTTTTTTTTCAATTTCAATACAAATTTTAAAGATAATTTCAGAATTTTGTATGTATTTTTAATGAATGCCTTTAAATTTGTTCGTGATGTCTTTATAAAAAGCACAAAAACACATATTACCCTTTTAAACATGTTACAAAATCGCTATATTATCAAACAAAGAATATAGCTAAGTCAACAACATTGCTTTTACTCTGTTTGTTTACCACAATTAAACGAAAAGAAACAACAGCATTTTAAATTAACTGACATTTCAAATGTAAACATTATCCCTAGAAAAAAGAGTAAAAGAGACAACTGTATATGTAAGCAGCGCACAACTAGCTAACAAAACAACGAGTAAATAAATCCAAAACATCTGGCATGTTTTTTTGCACTTCTATGCAAATAGTTGTTGCTTTTTACTCGTCATTTAAGGTTTTTCCATAAAATTGTTGTTGCCTCTTTTTGAATTTCTTTTTGCAAACGGTTGTTTGCCCTAGTGTTGTTGTTATTTGAGATGTTTTTACAAGTTTTAAGCCAAAAAAAAAAAAAAATGTAATCATTCGTTAAATTTGTCAAAGAGTGCTGCTGCTGTTTTTTCTTGTGCTTGTGTTTGCGCGCTGCAGTTGTTTGAAATTTCAAAGAAATTACACATAAATTCTTAAGGAAAAAAGCAGCTAAATTGAAAATTTTATTTAAAAGAAATTAAAGTTATATTTAATTACTTTGTGTGTGTGGAGAAAAAGTTGAAAACAATACCTTTTAAATTATTTTTTGTTGATTTATTCACGTGTTGATTTTGTTTTATTCGTTCCTTTTTTTATTGAAATATTTTTGTTGAACAATTTCAAGTTTTTTTTTTTTGATCACTGTGTGATAGATATCAACTTTAATTAACAAAAATAAATAAATTTTTGTGTAAATAAATAAATAAAATTGTCTACATTTTTTGTATCTGCCGAAGAATAAGGGACTAAGGAACTTGTAAAAATGGCCGCAAAACTGGACGACAAATCTTCCGATATACCGGAGCGTCTGTATGATTCTACAAATAATAGAACCTTTAAACGTATGCGTTTCTTTGGAAAGGTAAGTTTTTTTTTTCTGGTTTAAAGATCATTGAATTCCTTTGGTGTCTTGCAATTTGCATTCTCTTTCGTTTTCTGTATTCGCTTTTTGTTGGGGATCCTTTTAATGCCGGTTTTTATTTGAAATGTTGTTAGACGTCTCTGTTTTTGATTGTAGAGAAAAGAAACTAGGCAGGCATGGGAAATTAAGTACTTTTTGATATCATACCGCGGTATCCTCACGTAATTTTTGGTATTTTTTCTAATTTATACACTTTAGATAAGTGGTCCACATAGTAGGCAATAGAAGGGTCTGCAGCCTAGTATAATCTAATCTATAAAACCTCTATAATCTAGTCTAGTTTACAATCTAGACTATTCTATAGTCTAGTCTATGATTTATTCAATTGTCTAGTCTATAGTCTAATGTATAGTCTAGTCAATAGTTTAGCCTATAGCGTAGTCTATATTCTAGTCTATATCCTAGTCTATCGTGTATACTATTAACTAACTCTATCGCCATTCAGCTAGCTGAATTGCGTTCATATAGGTTTTCTTGTAAGTTATATATATTTTCTTTACATTTAAACGTAATTCAGCTGGCTGAATTACACTTTGTGTTGCTTTTTATAAAATTTTTTGGTTAAAAATACAATTACATTCATATTTAGCCTTATTCAGCTAGCTGAATTGGCTTAAAAATTATATTAACATATTGTTAAATGCTTAAAACACAGTTTTTGCTCATTTTACCGCTATTCAGCTAATTGATTTGGAGCTCAATTGCATTTAAAGTAGTTTTTGTTGAGTTATATACATTTCCTATAGGTTTAAGTTGAATTCAGCTAGCTGAATTACATCTTGTGTTGCTTTTTATAAAATTTTTTGTAAAAAACTGGTTTTAAATTCATATTAAACCTTATTCAGCTAGCTGAATTAGCTTAAAAATTACGTTAGCATATAATTTAATGTTAAAACTAAAGTTTTAACTCACTTTAACGCTATTCAGCTAGCTGAATTTGCTTTAAAGAAGTTTTTAGAGAAAAAAAAATTTCTGGAAATGTAAAATTTTATTATTTTGTTTTAGGGTGGCTTTGCAAAATGCTATGAAATCATTGATGTGGTAACAAATGATGTGTATGCGGGAAAAATCGTCTCCAAGAAGCTGATGATGAAACACAATCAAAAAGAGAAAATGACCCAAGAAATCACTATACATCGTAGTCTTAATCATCCAAATATTGTTAAATTTCATGGTTTCTTTGAGGATAGTGCCAATATTTATATAGTTTTGGAATTGTGCAAGAAAAGGGTGAGTATTTCTTGTAAACAAAACTAATGTCTGCACCACCTGCTTTAATGTTAAATATTTTCTTTGCCTTACTACTAGTCCATGATGGAATTACACAAACGTAGAAAAACTATTACAGAATACGAGTGTCGTTATTATATCTTTCAAATAATACAGGGTGTTAAGTATTTACATGATAATCGTATAATACATCGTGATTTGAAATTGGGTAATCTATTCCTTAATGATATGTTGCATGTGAAAATAGGAGATTTTGGTTTAGCCACACGCATCGAGTATGAGGGTGAACGTAAGAAAACCCTGTGCGGTACGCCTAACTATATAGCCCCCGAGATATTAACTAAAAAGGGTCATTCCTATGAGGTGGATATTTGGTCTATTGGCTGTGTTATGTACACTTTACTAGTGGGTCAACCACCCTTTGAAACCAAGACCTTGAAGGATACCTATTCAAAGATAAAGAAATGTGATTATCGTGTCCCTAGTTATTTGCGCAAATCTGCTGCCGACATGGTTATTGCCATGTTGCAGTCGAATCCTGAAAATCGTCCTACCATAGGAGATCTTTTACATTTTGAATTCCTAAGCAGTTCACCAGTGCCTACATTCTTGCCCAGCTCTTGTCTAACAATGGCACCACGTCTCGAACTCAATGAGACCATAGATCATGAGGCTGCTCATCGTAAACCATTGAGTGAGTTGAATGGCCTTAAAGATGATACTCGTCTAGAGTCGACATTCCTTAAAAATAATCTTCATGATGCCATTACGGCCTCGGCTCAGGCCTGCCGGCATAATGAAGATTATCGCAGTGATATACAAAGTTTACAGCAACAGATTACAAATCTATTGAATGCTAAGGTATGTGGAGGATATAAAAGGGAACCTATTTTAGGGTTTTATCAAATAATGTGTTTATTTACTAATTTTCTTTAGCCCCGCTTATTGCAAGGCAATTTGGGTGATGAAAATACTGATCCTGCTGCTCAGCCCTTGTTTTGGATTTCCAAATGGGTGGACTATAGTGATAAATATGGTTTTGGCTATCAGCTGTGCGATGAGGGCATTGGTGTCATGTTTAATGACACCACTAAACTTATACTATTGCCAAATCAGATGTAAGTAGATTTTCTTTATAATTTTGAAAAAAAAACTTACTTTTTCTACTACTATTTTTAAAAATCGTAAATTTTACTATTTCTTGCTGAAATGTAACAATAAATTGTTAAATTTTATAAAAATAACCAAATTTTTTTTTTTTTGAAAAAAGGTACTTTTTCTACTACTTTTTTAAAAATCATAAATTTTACTATTTCTTGCTAAAATGTAACAATAAATTGTTCAATTTTATAAAAAACTACGAAATTTTATA